ATCAGTCTGGTCCTGGGATTTTCTTGGTTAGTAGGCTTTTGATGGTATCTTCTATTTCCTTGCTTGAAATTGATCTGTATAAATTGTGTATGTCCTCTTGACTCAGTTTGGGTTGATCATATGCCACTGTAGTGTATCTTAACTCCAACCACAGTTTCTCTGCCTTCAGATATTTATCAAAGCTAAAAATCATACTTTAAAGATACATAAAAAACAAAACAAATGGAAACTGTTGCATTTCATGAATAAACATTTAGGGTCACTCCAGGTGAACTGGGCTGCATGAAATAATCACACAGAGACAGAGAAATACCTTAGGTCTTGTGACAGCTCCTCCAACCTTAGGGGGTCCATGGAGAGAGAGAGAGAGAGAGAGAGAGAGAAAGAGAGAGAGAGAGGGACAGAGAGAGAGAGAGAGAGAGAGAGAGAGAGAGAGAGAGAGAGAGAGCACATGCTGAACACTTTTATTGGGAAGAAGCCATTCAAATGAGGCAAGGGGTCAGATTTCAGGGATTGAGTCTACCTATGTGATGTCTGCTGTCAGCAGGTTGATTGACATCTGGGCAGGTCATGCCCATCTCATGAGCTGTATAGGGATCATGGCAGAGCAAGCAAAAAGACCACAGTGAGGTCAGCCCAAACAGCTGGGCAATGTTGGTTCAGTACACTTTGTGTGCTCAGTGCTCATAGTTCACACACACACAGCCCATGGCTGGCTTGCCACATCTCCACATTCTCATCATTCAAGGTCAAGGGGCACTCAATTCCTAAATGGTAGCTCCCAAGAGAAAGCCAAGCTTGATCAAGGCTTCTTTCATGAACAACTTCAGTTGCCCTCAATTTTGTATTTCTGTTGAATCAAACACCCCCATATTGCCATTTGGCACCATAATGAACCAATCTGTATTCCAAGTAGTAACAGGTTAGTTGAAAAGGAAGATGAAGCAGTTAAATGAAATAAGAAAAATACAGTGACAATGGTATGGCCAAGCAATTCTGAGCAACATGATCTAGCATTAATGTCATCACATTCTAAGTCAGACAATATAATTCTGAAGCAAACTGACAATTAATATATTTACATGTAGAAAATACTTAAAAAACCACCAAAAAATCAACATATTTATATAACATTATTGTTAGAGTTAAGCATTTGCTAAGTTGATTAATTTCTCAATTACTCTTTCTGACATGCTGTGAGCAATTCAGCACCCTCCTTTAACAAGTACTAAGTTATTGTAGTTTAGATGCTTCTCTCAAAGTCTAGAAACCACATAAATCATTTGAACAAGGAAAATTTAACATAGACCTACTCATGGCTGAGGCCCTGAATTTAATCCCCAGCACAGAGAAAAAAGAAAAAGAATCGAATAAAAAAAAGGAGTTAACTACTAAAAGAAATAAAAGAAGCCTCAAAAGAATGCAGAAATGGCATATATAGGGAAAAGATAGTAGTACCTCTGGATTGAGGCAGAGTAGCCAAGGAAGGAAAAAAATGTATGACAAGGTCGCCAATGAGACTGAGGTGCAGAATTCATTGGGGAAGATGGAACCATGGCCCACTTGAAGGTTGAAATGGATCTGTAATGCTCCAACTCACCAGGTGTCCTCTTTCATAATACCTCCGCTCCAACATTTGTGACACCAAATGTTTGGAGGTTTCCACACCAATTCTCTGCATATATCACGGTGTCCTATAATTCAATTAAGGAATTACAAGAGAGTCCTACAGGTTAAGTGGAACCCACAGTCTTAAAAGTATGCCCCCCATGTCTTCAGATGACAATCACAAGATGGCTCCTCAAGTTACCCACCTGTTTCTGAAGTTCCTGTCACTGTAAGGAGGTCCAATGTAGTCTCTCCAGTGGCAAAGAAAACCTATACTCAGGACTTTCAGACCCTTGCCCATACCACAGAAAAGAATGTAAGGATGTGTTTGGCTTTAGTAATGAGAGGAAGAGCATCATTAGAAAGTGAAAAGTGAATATAGAAACCCTCAGAGAATAATGTGGGCAATCTCAAGAGGAAGAAGAACCACACCACCAGGGATTAAGGTCAGATTATTTTATAGGGTACAAAGGTAGAATATATGATCCAAAGGGACAGGACTTCCCTGGAGACTGGGAAATATTGAGTAACATGGTTTCCCATTAGGAAATCTAGTCTGCTATGTTGTTTTCATCTGATATTTGATCAGGTATTTGATCCAATCAAATGTTAGCCCCTATCTTTATGAGGTTAGTAGTGTCTTTCTTTTGAAAACTTTTTCCTGCTTTGCTGCATTCCAGAAAATCTATACAGAACTGAAAACTTACAAAGTAATTTTTGAGATTGTTTGGTACATTTTTACCTTTGGTCTCTTTCCTTCCCTTAATATTCTTTGTCCAGGTCAGGAGCAGTACACAAGTTATTGTTCCACATCCCAACAGGCACATTTCTCCTTTAGAGCCTTTTTTAGTATCCTAAATTTCTATCTCATTCCAAATAATCGTCTTCCATTCCCATGATCCATTCTTAGATTGGGTGATTTTCTACATACATTTTCTATACAGGCTCAGAAAATCAACAGAAACAACTTTGTTTACTAACCAATTTATTATAAAAGATCTTGTAAAGGATACAGTGAATAGCCAGATGAAATGCACATAGGGTGAGGCCCAGAAAAGCCTGGAGCACAGGAATACCTATCCTGTGGTGGAGTTTGAGAGGCAGCACCCCCAGAAACATGAATACATTGTTGTTCATCAACTCAGAAGCTCCCTCAATATTTTATGGATATTTCATTGTGTCATTATGATTGATCAAATCATTGACTGCTTGCAATTAATTAACTCAACCTTCAGCTCTATTTTTGTCCCCTCTTTCACTTTTTATTCATAAAATTTGTTCCTTTGGTAACCTGCCCCCATCCTGAGGTGACCCAGGGGCTTTCTAAAAATTGTCTTATTAACATAAACTCAGATGGCTGAAAGGGGCTTATTATTAAAAACAATAGACTCTCCCTTCATCTAAACAGAAAATTCCAAGGTTTTTAAGAGATGTTTTCAGGAATCAGGGAGAGAAATCACTTTTTAGGAACCTAGGACAGAGACTAAAAATACAGATAAATACATCAATATAGACATTTCTTACTATGTCACCAAAAGGTGGGCCTTCTGTACACCACCGGAAGTTGCAACAAAAATGGTGGCCCATGCCTGTAATCCCAGCATTTTTTAGCCTGAGGCAGGAGTATCACAAGTTCAAAGCCAGCCTCAGCAACTTATCCATGCCCTAAGCAACATAGGAAATGTAGGATAAGATTGTCTCAAATTTTTAAAGGCGGGGGTTGGGTGCTGGGATTGTAGCTCACTGTTGATGCAAGTGTGCAGAATGGGCTTTAATCCTCAGCACCACATTTAAAAATAAACTAAATAAAGGTATTGTGTTCATCCACTACTAAAGAAAACTATTTTTAAACAATATAGTTTGGGATTGTTGCTAAATGATTAAGCATCCCTGGTAACAAAAAAGAAAAAAAGGAAAGGAAAGGAAAGAGAAGGGAAAAAAGGGAAGGGAAGAAAAGAAAAGAAAAAAGAAATTAAGAAAGAAATTATGAAAGAAAGAAAGAAAGAATTAACGTGCCTTGCAGTGGCCCTTCCAGTGCATTGTACCAACAATCTCACATTGTGTCAGATGGCAAAGAAGTGTTTACAAGATCCAGTTCCAAGAACACAAAGAAGACCCACATGGAGTAGATTTGGAACACAAATGCAATGAAATGATACTGGACTCTGTCCACACCTTTGACTTTATTTTTGCATACATTTTACACCATATTACAAACATTTGAACTTCCATAAGACAACAAATCTACATGACAAAGCCACCTGACAAATGAAGAGGTTCTCATCTGTTCCCCTACATGAAGAAAGAAGCACTATCAGTCACTGTACACTACACTGTTATATTATCTACTCTTCAGATTCAGTCAGTCTCAATGAATATACTGTTACCTAAAAGATAACAATTTGTATAGAAAATCATGAATATAAGAAGAGAGAAAGCAAATGGTCAATATTCACAAATATACACATATATGCCACAAGCAAAGAGAAAATACAGAAAGCTATTAAAGTCCTTGTTTCTAGAAGGACTGTGTAATTATATGTACTTTCTATATATCTTTCAAATCCCAAACTGTGTTGTCTCTTCCCCAGTCAGAACAACTGGTCATGATTGTTCACTTGGTAGAGTGAACACATCTTTATTCTTGCAGTTGTAGTATAGACACAAAGTGAGAATGTAAGGAAAAGTCAAAGAGGGTAGCAGGAAGGGGGATATGATCAAAGTACAATATATGCATGTATGAAATTGTCACAATAAGAACCAATATTTTATACAATGAATATATACTAATAGCTTTTTAAGGAGGGGGCCCATTGTCTTATCCTGAATTAACATATCACAACACTCTCAGTGGTACCAGAAATTTACTGAATTATGGAAAAATAGGCATGTTATATTCATCTCAGAATAGGAAGCAGATAACATAAAATGTTGGACTCTTCTCTTAAAACTCCATCATTCATTGTAGTTTGGAACTGAAATATCCCCCAAAGGCTCATGTGTTAAAAGTTTGGTCCCCAGCTCGTGGCCCTTTGGGAGGTGGTAGAAATTTCAATAGGTGGGGACTAGGAAAGAGGAAGGAAGTAGGTAACTGTGACTGTGTCCTTGAAGACTATGTCTTGGCCCCTCATCTATATATTACTCTCTCTCTCTCTCTCTCTCTCTCTCTC